AACAAAACAAATTCCACCAAATCAGGAGCGGCAGCACAACACAACCTGAACAAGGTCACTGAATCGATAATGCACTTTAAGCAACGGGTCCCTTCTTGTACACGGTATAAATCAGTAGTAAATAGCTCAAACTGTTCAGTGCTCTAGTCCATGTTTCCTTACGCTGCTTCTCAATCATCACACATTACTAATGATTTGTATGCTTTTGAATAGATAAAGAGAGGAGAATGCTGCTGACGTTGTGTACGATTTCACCCCGCCACCTCCACTGTAACTAAGAACAAATGGACTGCGTATTCAATGATCCTTTTTCTCCACTTTATTCCAGTCAACAAACAAAAGCTCATTGATAGAATGTTCGGGATGTAACGAAGCTTACCGCGTATAGGAATTCTTTCGGGTAAATCAGAGTCAAGTTTGATTGTAACTATTCAATTGGGTAAAATTTTTCATGCCACCAGAACCAGGCTGTTATCAGATTACACAAAAGGTCCCAGTTGCATGGAGGTTTGCTGTCATGTTGGACCCACGGTACTCGGAGCCATTGTTTGAAGCTCCTGGGATACAAACTGATGCGTTTATTATTCCAATGAGAACCGTGTTTGATGTTGTTGGTTGCAGGTTTTGACGGTTTTATCATTATCCAAATGCATAGTGAGTGTTCTCAATGCATACTGACTTGCTAATGAGATATTTTTCAGTGTATCTGGGCTCAGCCGAGACGGTTATGCTCTAATTGTTTCGCGAGAATCGTGATGGTGGTGGTTACGACCATAACTTGTGCACCAGGAGTCGAGGAACTGATATCGTTAACCCAGGCACAAACTTCTCAAAATTCAATACATAATTAGGATAAGATAAATGAATACCCTTAGGATGACTGAAAGAAGCCCAAGGGCAGCACAAGTGTATATATAACTGACGTGACTAAAAATGTCCCCGATACGCATTCCCGACAAGCGGAAACAACCTCAGTAGGAATTCAGTGCAATCAAGGAAAATCCTGTAGTGATTGTAGTCGTAGTAATAGTAATACGTACTGAACTCGGAATACGAATCATGCATTAGGGAGCACGGAATACGAATCAAGGATTAGTAATCACGGACTGGATCACGTATACACTGGACAGTACTAACACTAGCACGTAATACCTCACGTAACTGAGACACGAGGAAAAGGGCTCAGCAGTAGTAGTTCAATTATTGGAAGAAATAATGGGGCTTAAATAATATGTAAAAAGTAGGCACATTGGTTATCTGGGCTTCTAACAATCGCCTTTCAGTATTACTTGCATCGGTCTGCTTCTGTTTGTGCCGCACGGCCTCTGACTGGCTGGTACTATCTGCTTACGGTATGTAGTCAGAAGCAGTAACAGGTACGCGCGTTGTTGACGTCACCCGTGAAGTCTGATTGATCGCTGGCGTCCAAAAACTGTAACGCATCGCTCTAGGGTAGGCGTCATCTCGTAGGCCCGGATCATCACAAATTCTTTCTGTTATTCAGACACTACTGATCGTGATGAATCGTGTTTACTTTTACTATACAGGCGGTTGGCCGCGTGAAGGATGACCGCTCCATAGTCGAAAATAGTTGATCACACACACCGATTTATGGTTTGAGTGATACACAGTGGACTAAAACGAATGTGGTTTCAGGGTCATGTGTAATCGTAATACAGCGTATGCTGTCCCACAATGCGACTAGTGTTTTGCTGCGGGTATTGTGCAATTCGGTAACCAAATCCCGGAAATTAAGGTGAGGCTTCTAACTACAAAACACAAGGCGTTCGTAACTGATGGGATTCACTCTCTCTGCTACTCATCGCAGTTCACTTTGAAATAAAAAAGTTATAAAAGCACAACAATGAGCATGAAGGAATTCTATTGACTTCGCGTTTTTGGTTGATAATATATGCATCATTTTGTAGGAGAAGATCAAGCGACAAGTTTAGCGGAACACAAGGCATAGACTTAAATGTTTCGATGCTATTTGATGGAACTATTGTTTTCGCAACGAATTCACATAAGTAAAAGAGTTTGATGGTCAAGACCCATTATGGGCATGCTTGACATAGAGATTCAAAAACATCGCTATAAATGTTAAAACACAAAACAAGGATGTTTATCAGTCTAGGAGCATTGGACATGTTGCGAGTAAAATTTTGCTTAATGATTCAAATCTTCAGTCTCACTTAGCCCAAAGTGAAAACCGCATCGTTCTTGTACACCCTTAGTTGCGCTCGTTCTTGCGCGCTCTAAACCTTTCGGTTCACTGAAGTTTATTTCAATAATACACTCATTCCACAGTATTAGCCCAAGCCGAGTCAGAGCTTACCCGAGTTCACTACAGAAAGTGGTGTTCGACAGGGTTGCCCTCTCTCTCTCCATTTCTATTCAACTTTGTTATAGATTTATTTCTTGAAACAGCCCTATCCTCATGCGGGGATAGTGGCATCGATTTACTCCCAAGTGACAGGCTGTCTGATCTAGAGTATGCGGACGACATTGTGCTGCTAAGTGAAGATTCAGGTAAGTTGCAAGCTTTTCTGGATAGTTTGAGTGCTATTGTGGCGATGTTCGGTATGCGCTTTGCACCTTCAAAGCGTAAAATGCGGCTCTAAGATTGGGTTGGCCTAGTCCCCAGCCTCACCCTGACCGGGAAAGTTGTAGAGAAAGTAGACAAGTTTTGCTATCTGGACAGCTATATCTCACCTGGCGGACGCATCAAAGATAAAGTGTCGGCGCACATACAGAAAGCTCGGTTGGCATTTGCCAACTTGAGGCATCTGTGGCGCCGTCACGACGTCCGGTTGTCTGTGAAGGGTCGAGTGTATGCTGCCACAGTTCGGCCAGTTCTTCTTTACGGTGCAGATACTTGGCCGTGACGCGAACAGGATAAAAATAGATTTTCGGTGTTAGAACACCCCTGTCTACGTAGCACTGCATGAGTCTGGTGGGGAACTCGGACGAGCAATGCTGAGGCTAGGTGTAGAGTTATAGGTAATCGCGGTCGTCCACTGCAACAGGTAGTCAACCTTCATAATTTACGCTGGTTGGGACGTGCTACGCATGTCACCAGAACGGTTGCCACGGCGAGCGATGCTTGCCGATGCAGGTAGCGGTTGGAAAAAGTGATGGGCGGTAAAGCTAAGACATAGAACGAGGGTATAAAAACCCTGACCAGCTTTCGTTAGGCTCTCTGGCTGGGAACCCAGAGATCATGGTCACCGACGGCTCGAGACACTGAGCGATATGGCTGGGTATCGCAAACAGCGGCGCTCATGCATCTAATCATCATTCTTGTAACTTCAGTCTACGAAAATGTGATATCTTCCGCTTGAATCTGCTCTCAACATTCTAATCATCATTCTGTTGTTTTATTCAAATGGGCAACTAAAACCGGCGCATGAAAGTGCATGGTTAATGGCTATAAGAGCTGAACTGAACTGATCCTACGAGGTGCCTCTCTTTCACAAATTTCTAGAAACATAAAATAGTATATAAAATTATAGGTCGATACTTGCTTTCTGTGCCGAGAATAAATTCTGTTGTTTACTTTCCGCATTATTATTTTCGTAGCTGGGAGCAGGTTACCAGTTCTGCTGTGATCGCGAAATAGGGCTAGATGACTATTGTACCCACCGAACTACTCAATCTGCATGTAGTGCTTGGACCTGTCTCATTTTACTTTGTGTTCCCTCGCTGTGTGAAATCGCACGCACTGTTTGTTGGCGCCCAGTTTGTGTTCTCGATCCATCACTGCGATGTGCTGACTTGTGCTGGATACAGCTTGTGTTCTCTGTCTGGAGTGTCCGTTGTTCTAGTGCGTATATTCTCAGCCATACTATGCTACACAACAAATGGACAGTTTTCCTACCTGTAAGCTGACTTCTAAGATCACAAAAGTGTCGACTATGCATCAGCATTGAATTCTCAGATCACATGCTTCCTGAGTAGAGTTTGAGTTCATAGACGAATTGGCATCCATTTTGTTCTTTCCGTGATTATTTAATTCTGAAATGCAATTTCCTAACTCCACCTTCCGATGTAAACCACCGCCAAACTGTATTCTAATATCTTTTAAAGGAAAGCATTTTTTGTGATAAAATTATGAGAAGAACATCAATTCTGATGAAGAGTACGAACTTGTTGCAAAGATACTTTTCTCCATAGTTGACTAACGATACAAATGGATTGGTTGGACGGTAATGCAAAAAGTTGCTTACGATCAACCATATTGGTCATGATGGAAGGCTTCTCACGTTAACAAATACTTCAATACTTCTAAGAAGGCTTCATTTAAGTCACATCGCATGCGTGATGATGGTTGATGCGGTAAAGTTCATCGTAACAGTTTTGTGGAGGGCGGGAGTTTGAATCCCACATTCACCATCCATCTTTCTCAGTTGTGTATTTCTCTGACAGTCTTTGATTGACTGCAGTCCCTTTTTTAAAGGCAAACTGTGCGTTTAATACATAAAAAGAAGTAAATGATTTTTATTATTAATTTGTAAATCCGGAACAAGCCAACAACAAAATAAGAAGACACAACAAGAATTACAAAATTTTTACTATTTGTATACTTCTTTGGTCTCTCGCCTTATCATGCAGGAACGAACTAAGTCAACTAACTAGATAGAAGCATTCACGTGCTTTGGAGGTCATATGAGTGCTAGATCGATTCGCTAGCTCATCGATTGGTTCGGTGTTAAACGTCATAATAATCTGTCTCACGAGTTTCACCTAACCCGGATGTTAGACGACAGGCTAAACCAATTACGGAATTATTCTAGTTTGAACTAATCTTGTCTTACTCCAGATTTAAAATCGAGGGCGATTCAGTAAAGGATTGATAATTATTCATCGGTGACATCGAGGAATTAGCGGTTTCACTTTTTGAAAATCGATGCACGCTGGTTTGTTTTCCTATTGAAATAGAAATGAAATTAACCTGGGGTGACATTTCTTAATTGTGCACCGCAATCCAATGTGGCTCCAGAATGCATTTGGCTGGTGAGGAAATTGAGCAGAGTGTCACACCAGTTCGTAATATTCTTCGTGATATTTTCGCTCATTCCGTGCCAAACATTCGAACAAGATTTACCTTTCTATCACCAGTCCCATTTGGCTCAATTAGTCCGATCAAACGTACCTCGGTCAAGAGTAGTTTATGGACTTCGAAATCGAAGGTAAATAAATCTAACACAATAGGTGAACTTCGACATCTTGGTGACTGTATGGGTCGAAATTGCATCACACCGCCGGTGATTTCGGCTTTACGCCTATCACCGGATCCTTCTTCTCCTCTGCCAAACTCAGAGCCACATAGTCAAAGATCAACCCAAACAAAACCTTGCACCTATTTGGAAGAGGTACTAAAAAAGAAGTACACTTCGTTCTATAATGAATTCATCACATCCCAGTTAGACAGTGAAGCGAAACAACGACTGGATGTTTTGCACTATTTTGGACTAGCCAATGCGGCCGGCGAATCCACACTGCCTGGAGTACCCAAAACACCGAATAACACCAATTCGACTAATAATCGTCAGATGAACAAACCGTTTCAACTGGATTTACGCAAAGTTCTGGCTCATTTGAATCAAAGTGCGGTACAATGCTTTGGTACCAACCCCAGTGCACACGGGTGTGGTGGTCGGAAAAATCAAGTGATTGTCCAACTGCGAAAAGGAGCACAATCGAATAAGGTACAGACTGCCCGAAATTGGACTCCCGAACCGGCTCACAGATTGATCCTATACTCTTCGGATAAGTTAGCCCCCGGAGCTTCAGCACAACCAAGACGTGACAGACTGTTCACATCTGACTGGCGGCCGCATCAATCCAGTTCGAGAACTCCTTCACCCGGAATCACTAGAGTTCGACGATCGAAAATTTCAAACTCCACCGCACCAGAAAAGATATTTGGATCGGATAGGTGGAAATACTCTTCTCCGAAATCCTCACTCTCAAAAAAGCGATTTAAAACTGGCCGGAAAACGACTCCAGTCAAGCCCAATTAGTCAGTTACTTTCGACTGTTTCAGTTTGGAGTACTATTGAGCTTCGTTGTCGCTCTCTTTTGTCCTGTTCACATTGATTTCAATCAAGAATTATTCACCAATCTTTGTTCATCTACAATGCGGTGAGTAAGATATTATATTATACGGACAAACAACCAGAATGGGATTGGAGGAAAATAAACTTTACTCATTGGTTTGTTGACCAGACTGATCGGTCTTGATCCCGATTGAATGTCTTTCAGGATTTTCAGAGTCGGATATTTTAGGTCAGTTGGTGCCGGTGTTTTAGTATAACTGGGGGGAGGGGACATTGAAACAGTGAATGGCACACATGACCTCGATCGATTTATCGACGGTAGCGGATGTTATTGGTATCATTTTGCCTCTTGGACAATGACTCAAAAGAGTGAATCGGGGTCCTTTTGTTGTTTAGATCAGACTTAAAATTCCGGATCAGATTAATTTCTTCTAAATCATGTCTAATACAGAAATCCACACAGTTACTTAGGCATATTATTTATAAAAATAACCCCATGTATTTGGCATTCAGAGAATTATTCCATGATTAGGCAATACATCAAGATGAAATAACAGATAGCCAGCGAAGGTTAAGTGTGATTTCTACACAAATCTTATAATAATAAACAAGGGTAAACTTCCAATTCTGATAGGAAAACAGATCCTTCAAACGCGCATAGTGGGCTTGAGTAGATCATCAACCAGAGTGAGCCGCCTATAAGGACATATATCGTTCTTGCTTATGAAAACAACTATTTGGAATAATTTTCCATGATTCAGCTAAATTCATTGCATACCTTAGACTTATCCTTTTGACCTTTCTACTTGTTCCACTCGAGTCATCAGCATTTGTACCATGTTCGTGCAATCATCTTTCCCAGCAGCGAGGCCATTTACACTAGTGTGACACGTGCTGCACCAATACTTGTCAGCATATTGTGATTTGGTTTTCTTCATTTTATCGTAGCCAACCGAAACACGGGCATCAGGAACAGATCATGTTGCCGGAGAAGGTGCTGAGATTTGCTATGATATGTGTACCTATAAAAGAAATCAAGCTAACTGCGCTTACCAAGATCGGCATGACATGATGTATCAAATCAAGTGTTTTGTATGCGTAAAAGAGGGCTTTTTGTCAGATAAATCATAGGAGAGTTTGAAAGCTTGGTGTACCTACGAAGTTGCTTAACGGTTGATGAACGTGTGACCAGTGAGATATGGCAAACGCGTCAGTAGAACAAGAATTGAGTTCAATAATCTGCCACATCTCTCGCTCCGGCGTGACAAGTACGGTTGTTAGAGAGGGCGTGCAAATAGCGCCGCCGTACGTGCTATTTTGCTCTACGGTTGCAAAACTTGGTATCTCTAGGCAGATCTTAAGCAACAACTATCTACCTTTGACAATCGTAGTCTGCTTATCATCACCCCCGTATGGTGGGAACAGCACGTAAGTAACGGTGAAATCAGTTGACGGGTCAGAGAGTTCTCTGTTATTCACAAACCATTTACGTGCACGTCTAAGTTCCTAAGAATGCCTGGATCATATCTGACCAACCGTGATTTATTTACGGATACTAGAACAGGGTAGCAAAAGTAGCGAGGTGAAAAGGCTATGAAGTGACCCTAAAGGAATGAGGAGCAAGGATTCTGTCGAGGTTTCCGGCTCCCCGGCTAGGGTCCCAAAGATTCCGATTAACTTCGACTAGAAACACTACAGGATATGGGATTGAAACAAAGTTGGTGATATGGATGCTTATTTTTACATGTTTACAATCCCCTAACTAAATAAACAAACAGTTAAACTTTTTGTACAGTGAACAAAACTGTTTAATTGTCTGAAGCTTTCCACAGAACAAATGTGAAACAAACAGAGTGACGATTAGGCTTGTTTCTGTTGATTTATATACATGACAATGCATCCCAATATGTACTAAGATTGATTGGATCACGAGGCTGGAAGTCGGATCCATGATGCTCACTCAGTTGTCCTTCCGCTCATCCGATCACTGAGGCTACTTGGAATGTGGGATGTGTTAAGTGGGGCCGGGAGGGGGGGCTAAGTGTCCGGACCATTTTTTTAGTGCACACAGACGAAGGCCAAAAGAATTCTTCCTGCTTCTGCTGTAGCCAGAATCTGACAACGAACCTGCCTCGGTAATCGACCAAGTATTACATACAGTTGGTTAAAAGCCCCAGTTATGTCCACAGTGTGATTTATTTTAGATCGGTGTGAAACCACTTCGTTGATGAATGACTTAATCGTTTCGGTGTTCAGTCAAGCTGGGTGGTATCCATGATTTCATTCGGCCAAATCGCCGGCGAATTATGGACCTCGTACTGTAAGATGAATATTATTGTACTATAATTTGTTTGGCACACAGTATGTATTCATTTGCGAACGAAATACATGGATACATAGTGACCGTGCGGCCTATGACAGCTGTTCGAACGGGTTCATGTACATTACTCTGCATGGCTGAAAGTTGGAAAGATTATATAACTCATCAATACAGTGGTTTCACACCCGACTGAAACGAATCACACTGCGACAGTGACCGAGGTGTTCCACCGCCTGCATGAACCTTAAGCAGAAGAAATTTTCATTAGATAAATACTTCCCAGATATTTTAAATTTTTCCCAAGGTCAATAATTTCATGTTGGTCCTTAATTGTGCTTATGTTGTGTTGTACTGCATTGTATTGAAGCTCTAGCGAGTTCTATTAAAGCTTTCAGTCAAAAATAGACCACCGTTACAATTCTGGTGAAAAAAGAGGTGAAAAATGGGACATGGAACGTGCAAAAATATGAGTTAACTACAAAGTACATTAGAAAGCTGAGAACGAACAATTTCCTTGTCGGAAAATATCCGGGCAAGAGTTTTTGTATGCAGATATGCGAGACGGGATAAGTTTGTACTTGGAACGGGTACAGGGGTGGGATTTGCATGCACACAAGCCAGTGTGTAAAGGATGGCTGCAATCGGATAGGATATTGTCAACAAACTTTAAGCACGCATCAGTATGGGCATTACACATAGCGACAAACAACAAAAAACGGAACTTAGGAGACGTGGCTGATCATTGAGGGGCCACGCCTCAGTAACTTGAAATCAGCCTTCAGCAAACCAGGAAAAATTACAGGAGAGCAGTACAGGAGTATAAGGAGGACATATTGTTGAATGAAAGCGTTTATCACCGACAAGTTAGAACAGGAGTGACGCAATCTTCTTATCTGGAGAGAGAGAACGCTTAGCTTACTAGTAGCAATTAAGGTATGTAAGAAACAGCGAACGTTGCTTTCAAGTGTGACACCTAAGTACTTCACATGGCTGACCCTGCTCATCGACTTTCCATGAATCTGGACATTTTCAGAGGCAGATAGGCACGATTTGGTGTAAAAATGAAATACGAAAAGAGGTGGGACAAGTTTGTGTTATATTTAGCCAGTTCTGATTGGTTGGATACGGAAACAGAAATGGCGGTATCATCAGCATACTTAAAATCAATCAAATCAATGTATTTTTACTTCCTTTTTCTATTTATTGAATATACAAATGACAGTCAACTTTCAGGAAGGGACTGCGGCCATACAAAGGACGTAATAGGTAAGTCACTGATATAAGTCACAAAATGATACGGTGATATGACAGCACCTTGAAGTACATCCGAACTATCGAGTGATGCCGTTAGCTGTCTTATTCCCAATTTAACATATTGATATCTTTGCGAAAAGTAATCAGCAAGCCATTCAAGAAGAGAAAAAAGGGACGGTCAAAAGATTGGAGCTTATCAAATAAAAGAGAACGGGGCAGACAGTCAAAAGCGGAACAATAGTCAAGAGATGCGCAGTGCACACAGTTGGTTTTCTCGTTTATGGAATTGCAGATGGAGTGAACTGGAGAAGAAATGGCACCCAATGTGGAGCGGTTCTGTTTAAATGCAAACTGATAAGTATCATCGGGGGTGGTAAGGGATAACTGAAGGCGATGCATAACTGATCGCTCCGTCACTTTCAAACCAGTGCAAGTGAGAGCAATTGGTCTAAAACACTTCGCTATTGGTTCCTTTGACGTTTCTTTCGGGATGGGAGTAATTCCCACTGGGCGCCAGCAATCCGGACTAGGTCGGAGCTCGAGTGAATAATTAGCTATGTATGGAAAATGTGAGACAGTGGCCCAGCACCGTGTTTAAGAAGGGTAGGTCTAAAGTTGTCTGAACCAGGTGCGGTCGATACATTAAGAGAACACGTGTGTTTATACATTTCAATAAAGGTGATGGGATCAAACGAGGGTGGGGTGTTCAGAGAACTGGAATCAACATAACTGGGGTATGTGTCGGGCGAAGAATGAATAAATGCACTTTCTTCTGCCTGCAGAGTAGATTGATTCCCCGCCACATAGGTTACAGTTCTTCGTCCCAAAAAATTGACTTACATAAAAGGCGTTTAAGTCAAAGTCAAAGTTTTATTATGGGAATAACTTTCAAGGTGGTGCTTCTCTTGTCCCATAGGATACTTACACAGATGAATCGTTACACGTCGAAAAAGGAGCCACGTAGAGTTCCGGGTAGGAGATAATAGAGAACGTAGGCTACAGGGAATTTGCGTTTACTTTTAGCGCACCAATGCGAGGTGTGCCAAGGTTCCATCTAGTCTCTGTTTGAAAGATTCAATAGTGTGTGCACAAACGACATGAGATGGAAGGGCGTTCCAAGAGCTGCATACTCTGACAGCAAAAGACTGGCGCCGGTAATCCAGTCGACACTTTGGAATCAGTAGTTAGAAACGATGTCCCCTTAGGTGTCAATTTTTCGATAATATGAGGAGCGATCTACACCGATGGTTTTGGTTCTGCAGTATTTGATACGTCAAAATCAAGTCTCCTCGAGTTCGGCGGTA